GCACCATTCACAATCCACAGCATCTTCCAAACCKGTCGGGAGTTTTTAGAAATGGCTAAAAATAAATGCAGAAATGCAGCAAAATACACACACATATTATTGTTCAAAAAAGGAACAGGTGGTCCTGCCAGCAGTGTAAACACAGATGACTCTTGAAAACAGCTAATAAACCCAGCTGGGCAGCCTTTCCTAGCCATGCAAGCAGCTCTTGCAGAGCTCTCCTTGAGTCCTCCCTGCCAGAATCACGTGGGATCCGCACTCTGTGTCATGACAAGGCCTGAGTGCTTCCTTGTACTTGATCAAGATTTCCAGCGTCTTGATTTCCTTCACTCAACATATTCACACCATTCCACCCTCCTGACCTCCCGTGGATTATTGCCCTTCTGAAAATAACACACATGGAACAGCTGGTGGGGCCAGAAATGTCTTAAATGTAAATAGCACAAGTCCCTGTTTTCTAACTCCCCACCACTTAATTTCACCCCTATCCTCACGTTATGGAGAGGAGCATTTACTGAAGGGGAAAAGGATCAGGGCACTATGCACAGCCCAGAATGATTCAAACAGCAAACCTGGATGGCTGCATGTTGAAACCCATCACACTTCCACTGCGTGCAGGGAAGCTGAAGAAGAAAACATGAAGCAGTCCTGGAGTCTCAACATTTACCCTAGAGCCTGCATAAAAAAAATAGAAAAAAAATAAAAACAAAAATTTTACCCCAGCTTTTGGTTCACCCTGGATTTCTTCCCACCACAGGAAGAAGACTGATGTCACAGGCTGAATCACAGACATAAATCCTCCTGCTTGGTCACTTCTCTCTGAGTATGAAAGCATAACAAAAGAGCTTTGCTAGGAATCCACTGTAAGTCTCAATATCATCTCTTTGTAGCCCTTCTCTCCTGGCTGTTTTGAAAAAGAAGCAAATGTAATTTACACTTGCACCATCTTCTTTAATTTCATATCATCCCAAAACATTTGGTTTAGTACAAATACCCTTGGTTTAATACACAGTCACAAAAAGTAAATGAGGTGATAAAAGCTTAAAAGTGCCAAATGGTTAAGTGCTGCCACAGGGGAGCACATCTGCCACAGCACCAGAGCACCATGCCCTGGGATGCAGCATCTTGGGCACAGTGACAGACTGGCAGCTCTCCCACCACACCTGGACTGCCCAGGCACGAAGAGTCCACCTGACATGGCTGGGAACAGCTTATCCAGCTTGCTTCTGGAGGCTCCTTCTTCCCTCAGCCTTGCTGTGCAAGGGAAACACACKCTTTCAAAGCTGAAGAGAAAACTGGCCTGCTGTTATCCCAGAGCGGCGCATAATTGAGTCGGCATGATGCCGCAGACTACCAAATGCAGCAGATGGCTGCAGGCATCATCCAGTTTAGGATGACAAAGTTGGAACAAAAGAAAAACAGAAGGCAGGGAATGCATCTTCTGTGCTGGGTTACGGGGCAGGGGGTGAACCTTGGCACAGTGGGTCCATCGCCAGCACACGGCCGGCTTCCAGCTCCCCTGCTGCCACACCGACAATGACCAAATGCCCAAGCCTGGAAATGACAAAGGACAGTGAGGGAAAGCCACGTCTTCCTAGGCAAAAGAGGCAGGAAACTATCAACTGTCTGATAACCTATTTCTAAAATACACGGAAGAAAATCTCAAAAAATGTCCTCRTTATACCAACCCTAAATATGACAACTCTGACTTCCACGACTCTCCCACATAACCTGCAGGAATTCAGAAATTAAATTATGATCTGCAAGAATTGACACACATCATTTCACTGCTGGAAGGTAAAGTACTGATGTGAAAGCATGCAGAAAATGAGACAAGATGCRTAAGATCCGTACACTGTACTGTGAATGGTGTCTTGCAGGGAGGGCTTGGTCTGCTGTGGCATTTAGGGGTTTATTTTTGCCAATTCCACCCCAAAGGATCACAGACTTTAGGAGTGGAAACATTCCTTCCATTTCCCCAGGCGCCTTGCTCACAAAGCAGCTGGCTATACAGTTCACAACAACAGACAGACTGGAGTAGACAAGAGTGATAYGGCTCCACAGGAAGCAGCACAGCACACTCGAACAATTTATAAATAAAGTTCAGCCCTTTGTGAAGGCAATGCAGCTTACATGCCCAGACTGACTGGTTTATAATAGCCACTGTGGGCACCAATCCTTGCAGGACACAGAGACATCATCATTAGCTCCACAGYTGGGAATGGCGAAAGCTCTTTTGGCTACAGGATGCAGCAGCCCGTGATTCCAAACATGAATCCCACACAAACTCCTGCCCATGTTGCATTTGAGATTTCAGCTACCATAATAATTTCAAGGGGCCAGAGCAAAAGCACTTTCATTGCACTCAGAGAGCGAGTCATGGGAGCATTTTGGGGTGGAATAAGTTTTTTGGAAGGGCAGGAAAACACTTTGTGCTACAGCAGAGCAGCAGATACTCCACCCAGAGGTGGAGCTCCTCCAAAACAAGGCTGGGACATGAAGATATCGTGCTTGGCAAGAGCGGCTTGTGGCCCACTTCTGGCAGTCACACCAGGCTGGTAAAGACACCCTTCTCCAGGAGCCAGGCTCCCTGCCCAACTGCAGTCTGTGTGATGAAGAGCTGTGGGAGAACATTTCCATTCACTCTCCTTGCTGAGCAAAAAGCACTTGGGAAAGGAACMAAAGAAGTCAAAGCAACACATTGTTTTCTGACCTCTACCAATTTAGGGGGAAATAAACACACCTCCCTAAGGGGCATCCAAAAAATATTTGTGTCTCTGCCATACAAATATTTTATGGTAAATCTCAGATTTACACCACAAAGAGCTATGGGATGATGGAATCATAGAAGGATTTGGGTGGGAAGCAAACCTTAAAGATCACCTAGTTCCAAATCCCCCACAGGCAGGGACACCTTCAACTAGATCAGGTTGCTCAGATCCCTATCCAACCTGGGCATCCTTTACCTTTCTTCAGGGACAAGATGTTCACTTTGTCAAAAAAAACCAATAAAACACACAAACTCATTAGGTTAAATTGTTTCTTTTGTGGGTATTTTTTAAGCATTATTTAATGTCAATCCATGATGTGGAACAAAAAAATCTAATCATGATTGTTGGCTTCACACCTTATCAATGTATCAGCCACACAATGACTGTTTAACTTGGTCAAACTACCCGACTCACTATGACTCAGTTTCCTCTTCCAAAAAAGGAGGATGTAAATGCAAACTTATCAAGCCAGAGTGTTCTGAGATGTGATACACTTTTGAAGCACTGTAAAAGGCAAATGATAGCAATAATAATATTTTGTAAAGATAGCAATCATTGCAATTTGGTTAAATTCCAACCAGGAGGGAATTTGCCCTCTGCTTCCAGAGTGGAAACTTTCCTGAAACTTGTTCATTAGAGTTCATTACTYCATTTCAGTGGAAAAAACCTCACCCCTGGTGGCCATTGGATTAGCCTTCTGCTCCTCGTCTGGTCACARAAAGCAACAGAAGGGTAAAAATAACAGGTCCTTTGAAAATGTTTCTGTAAAGATGGTGCATCTTAGAATAAATTTCTACACAGTTGGACAAAGAAAAAAACCGGGCAACACCATTTGCTAAAAAATTGACAGCCGCCTGCTATTTTGGAAATCTCTCCTCTAATTGCACGCACCTGCTGTGGCATGGTATATTCTAAAATATATCTCACCAGCAATGCTGCTTGGCAGCAGCCAGGGCCACCCAGGAGGGACCCTGCGGTCCCAGTCTTCACAACCTCACAGGAACTGGGGTTTTCTTCCATGATGACATTTGAATGGAAATTCAAATAAATTCACTGTGAGCCTTTCTCCCTGCTCATTTCTATCACATCGCCTATACCTCTCTTCCTTCTTCCCCCGCCCGTTTAACTACATTTTCCTGTTCCCTCCCCACCAGMATTCTTGACCCCACTCGCTCTCTTGCAACACAAGCTTTAGCCTTGATTCCTTCATTTGTTACTTTCTTGCCTTCCGAAATATTTTTTTCCCCTTCTCTCTCTGCTCTTGTAAACTCTAAACTCAGAAAAGGGAAGTAAGCCTTTCAGAACTGCMGGGCTCTGAGAGACACGAGGAAAACACCACAATCCCCGCTCTGTACCCTGGTGTCTGTGCCAACCTCTCACCACCTGCAGCGGCTCTGCCCTCTGCCCTTTGTGCAGGTCACCATCCTCTCCCCCCTCTTTTTCCTTCACCCTTGCCCTGCTCCCTGAACACCTCCAGGAACAGTGACTCCAGCACCTCCCTAGCAGCTAATTTCAGAATCTAATCACCCTTTCCTGTGAAGAAATTCCTCTAAAAGTCCAACCTGAACCTACCCAGCTTGAGGCCGTGTCCTCTTGTCCTGTSACTTGTTCCCTGGGAGAAGAGCCYGACCCCCACCTGGCTACAACCTTCTTTCAGGGAGTTATAGAGAGYGATAAGGYTCTTCTGAGCGTCCTTTTCTTCAGGCTGAATCCCCCCAGCTCCTCAGCCACTCCTCATCAGACTTGTGCTCCAGACCCTTCCCCTGTTCCATCCSTTCTCTGGACTCACTGCAGCCCCTCAATGTCTTTTTTKAAGTGGCCCAGAACTGGACACAGATCACTGTGATTCCAGGYGTGGCCTCGCCAATGCTGAGCACAGAGGGTGGGTCACTGCCCTGCTCCTGCTGCCACAGCAGTGCTGACCCAGGCCAGGATGCCACTGACCTCCTCGGCCCACTGGGCACACCTGGCTCATGTTCAGCTACTGTTGACCAACACCCCCAGGTTCTTTTTCAGTGGGCTGCTTTCCAGCCACTCTTCCCCACGCCTGGAACACTAGACGGAGTTATCGTGCACACTATGAGTCCCACAGGGAAGAGAACTAAATAAAGAGGGTAACAGAGTCACAGGAGCTCCGCGGGCTCGGGTGACGGCCGTGCCCCCCTGAGGGCGGGGGCGCCGCAGGTCCCGCCCAGCGCGGCCCGGTTCCCCTGCGCGGCGCCCGCCGGGAGCCGCAGTCCGTGCCGGGCCCCGCCGCTGCCCGACTMCAGCGGGGCCTCCAGCCGGGAACTGCGCTTCCCGCCGCTCCCCGCGTGCGGCCGGGCCGGCGGGGCCGCCATGGGCTGGGGGGCTCGGCTGTGGCTGCTGGGCGGCCTGGCCGCCTGGGCGCAGCGGCGGCGGGCGGCGGCGGCGGCCGGGCGGGACGGCGGCGCGGGCGGGCAGCGCCGGGAGCTGGAGCTGAGGCTGGTGCAGGTCGTGTTCCGGCACGGGGCCCGCACCCCGCTGCGGCCGCTGCCGGGGATAGCGCCGGTGAGCACGGCTGGGGGCGGGACGGGACGGGGCGGGACGGGGCAGGCAGGGGTGGCTGCGGGGATGCCCCGAGCCGGCGGCGTGCCCGCTGCTGAGCTCCTGCCTAGCTYCCGGCAGTCTGATGGATTGGCGTTTATTCCCCTTCCCGAGGCAGTACCGAGAGTAAATATGGGGGAGATGTGGGAATTTAGGAGCACGTACTCCCTGCCGCGCTACAGGCTGGGGAAGAGTGGCTGGAAAGCTGTCCGGTGGAAAAAGGCCTGGGGGTGCTGGYTGACAGCGGCTGGACATGAGCCAGGATGTGCCCCGATGGTCAAGGAGGCCAGTGGCATCCTGGCCTGGGTCAGCATTGTTSTGGCCAGCAGGACCAGGGCAGTGATCATCCCTCTGTATTATGCACTGATGAGGCACCTYGAATCCTGTGTCCGGTTCTGGGCCCCTCAATTCAGGAAGGACATTRAGGGGCTGGAGCAACTCCAGAGAAAGGCCACAGAGCTGGGGAAAGGATCTGGAGCACAAGTGTTAGGAGAAGCCACTGAGGGAGCTCCTTAGTTTGGAAAAGAGGAGACTCAGGGGTGACCTTATTGCTCTCTACAACTTCTTGAAAGGGGGTTGTAGCCGGGTGGGAGCTCTTTTCCCAGGGAACAGTGGCAAGATGATTGGATACAGTCTTTAATCTGTGTCATGGGAGGTTCAGGTTGGACATTCAGAGGAATTTGTTCATGGAAGGGGTGATTAGACACTGGAATGGGCTGACCAGGGAGGTGTTAAGAGTCASCATCCTGGAGGTGTTTAAGAGAAGACTGGACATGGCACTGTGGTCTAGTTGAGACAGTAGTGTTCAGTCACAGATTGGACTCGATAATCTCAGAGGTCTTTTCCAACCTAATTAATTCTGTCATTCTGTAAAGTGGAATGGCAATAGCACATTAGTGGGACACATGACAGCAGAGGGAACAATTGCTGCAACTGCAGGGAGCCCTCAGGGGCAGGATGCAGGGATGGGCATCTCAGGGGTGCTGTGCCCRTGGACTTTGCCCCAAGGTCAAGTGCTGTGCCTTGGAACTGGTGTTCAGCAAACGTGTGGCTCCTGCCTCAGTGTTACTGCAGTTGATCTAGCTCCTCCAGCTTCCACCAAGGTGGCCTGAAGAGCCACAAGGTGTTAGCTCAAATAGTTTCCTACATCACCTTTTCRGTGTGTAACAGAGTAGCAATTGTCTTTTCCTACAGATTCTTCTCCTGTAAGGGAAGGAAAACAAGTACTGCATTTCCTGCACATCAAATCCAGAGAGCAGCACTGCTCTCATTTCTCTACAAGCTGTGTGAAGAGATCTCTTTGTCTCCATGTTGCAAGGCAGCATGGTGTAATCCTCCAGCATTAGTTTAATGCTCTTAAAAGTCCTTGGTTTAATGCCCTTGAAAATTTTCCATTGAAGCACTGTTTGTTTGTTTGTTTTGAAGCATGTGGAATGGCGTCCTACACTTTTAGATGTACCTGCTAAGACGAAGTTCGATTATGTAGTGACAGACCTAAATGGAGGACCTCAACCATACTCAGCCTTGGACGAGCAATACAGAAAGACTGTATTCAAGGTGAGATGTATTTCCTGGTGGGTTCCTCTTTCCTCTGTAGGCTTTTTTATTTCCATGGTCCACTGGAGCCCTTTCCTTTTCTTTGTTCTCAGGGTGGTGCAATCGCAGGACAGCTGACAACAGTGGGCATGCAGCAGACATTTGCCCTGGGGGAAAGGCTGAGAAGAGACTATGTGGAAGAAGCCAAGTTTCTTTCACCAACATTTAAACCTGCTGAGGTCTTGTGAGTCTCTCAGTTCTCTCCCGGACCTTCCCTTTCTTCCTGTCTCCTAACACGTAGCCTTGTGCGAGGGAAACTCTGACTAGCATACCCTTCTCCACCCCACACCAGGCTGCCTGGCCCCTGGGCCTTCATCTTTGCTCAGCCTGCAGAGCCTGGCACTAGAACTCACTCGTGACACAAAGCATCCACTTGTTCAGCAGTCCTGAGAGTGAAGCCAGGGACACAGATTCCTCTCACCTAGGTTTAGCCATTGGCAATGATGTTATGCACCTTTGTGGCGAGCGAAGAGAAACAGGCATTTCTGGAGCACACTTTAATTCACTGTAAACAGCTGACATTCAGTGAGATTAAGCAACCTCTCCTGCTCACATCAGTAATGCTGAGAGCATCTGGCTTAGGATGAGATAAAAAATTACACCAGAGAAGTGCCAGTTTGTTATCTCCACTAACTGACATGCAGYCACAGGGCAGTTCAGATTAGAGGTGTCTACCTAAGACACCTGTCTGTCTTTAGTGACAAAAGATGAGTCCCACCACAGGTTTCCAAAACCACAGTGAATCTCAGTTCTAGCAAGACCTCCCCAGCTGCAGCCATGTTAACATGAAGGAGAAAGTGCCACCTCACAAACTCCTTTCTCTCTTTCAGCATCCGTTCCACTAATATTTTCCGGAATCTGGAGTCCACACGGTGCCTGCTAGCTGGGCTGTATCAACAGCAGAAAGAAGGTTGGGGAGACTTCTGATKAGTGTCTTTCCTTGCTCAGTCTTCCCTAGATTTACACACCTTGCACATTCTAACTCTGGCTCCTGGTTGTTCTTCCCTGGTTCTTTGCAYTTGGCCCCCTTCCCCAATTCTCATRGTCCTGTAGATTCTTTACCAGCTTGTCACTTGTTCCCTCTCTTTGTGTATCTTTCTGCTGCTTTTTCAGACCTGCTGAGGAGGTTAGTGTTAACCCTTTTTAAAATCAAGAAGGCAAAAAGTTCACACATCTGAAAAAGGTTTCTCAGAGAAACCCAAACATCTTAAATACAAGTTCAGTATCTGGAGTAACTTTCAACTGTATCCTGCAGTTGGTAACTACTTGTTCTACAAATATGCTCTGCATTTTAAAGTTCTCACATCTGTTCCCTCCATATTCAGTTCCACAAACAAGTAGAAGTGACTTGCCAGAGCTCCTTACACCGTATCACACAGAGACTAATTTTTGGCCCTTACAAACCCTAACAAAAATGAACACACAACTAGGAAACTTACAAGGTGCACAGCAGGCATCCCTGTGGAAATAAATGCACAGAAACAAGTACAGAGGCTTGTGCTGCAATACCTCAGGGGGCAATTGCTAGCTGATAACACTGGACTTGAGCACAAAGACTATGTGAGTGATTAAAACAGTCTAAAGAAACTAAAGAAACATCAATGCACTACTGATCACAGAAACTTCCTTCTTGTTCCACAGAATCTGTTGTCATTGTCACTGATGAAGCAAGCTCAGAAATACTCTACCCCAATTACCACAACTGCCAGCGCCTGAAATACTTGACCAGGTAATTGCCAGCAATATCTCTCTGTATGATTTCACTSCTGTTTCATTTCAGCAGTAGTAATTTACAGCAGCACATTTTCTTCCCGTTTCCCAATTTTTTCCCCTGCCACTTACTGTTCTTTAGGAATGGTTAGCTAGTTGTATAAAATACTTGGTAAGTGGAGTTATACACCAAGCAGCAGCACCAGAAGAAAATAAAATAGAGACTTTTCCTTGAAAGACCAATTTAATTTAGTCTGTGTCTAGCAAACACTCATTACTAGCTAATGTACAGCTAGTCTGTGGCATTGCTGCAGGGCAGAATTAATGTCATCTACATCTCTTAACAAGCCTTTCAAGTGTGAACATATTGGGCCTCCTTTTTATATTCGGCTTCTGGTTTGGGGGTTATTTCAACATTCCCATCACATTCATACCTTGAAGAAACTGAAATATACTCAGSCTTGACACATTTAATGAAGACTAATGAAGTAAAATAAGTAACATCCCACACAGAATACTCATGTTTGCAGAGTCAAGTACTCTAAAATGCCTGGACCAGGTTTGGGCACAGGGTGGAAAATGAACAAGAGAGRCAGATGTATTACAGTGATGCTGGATTATACATTAGCATATTTTTGTCCAAAATTCAAGAGTTGTCAGAATTCACTTGGAAGAGCTCACTGTAATGCTTGACTCTGCAAGCAAAGGATTGTTCTAGACAGGGGTGAGTTGACAGCCCCTAGAAGCAGCTTATTCAGCCTCCTTGAGTAACATCACCTGTCCAAAAAGGGAGCATTTGCTCCCTGCACCCCTCTGCCCACCAACTGTACCTTTTGTGACCATGTCAAGGTAGACTTTGAGCTGCAGTAAGCACTGCCTCAGATTACAGGCTATCTTGGAAGTATATARCCAGCATGAATATTCTCAGCCAAATATTTTTAAATAAAATTTACAGCAACATAAAGATGCAAATAGCTTCTAACAAAGCAAAAGGTGAATTTAAGCTACGAGTATTTAGGTGTTTCCCTTTTCCCACACCACACAGTGATCAGTTCAAAGCTTCTACCCTTTCTTCTTTCATGAGGCAGTTAAAGGCTACTCCCTGAATATATAGACCTGTACTGTTCCAGTATGACCAGATCTGCTAGCTGATACACAGCCCTTGCTTCCCATAGGAACCACTTCTGGGGTGTTCACATCTCATTGTAATTTTTCCCCCGCCTTTGTGAGAGCAGAGAGCCAGCTCAGATCCTTGAGATCTGGATACACCTTCTGTGCTTTCTGCAGCTCAGAGTCCGAACATCAGGAGTCCCTCAGTATGCTGCAGTGCTTCTATGCCTCACTGATGGGGGACAACTCCACTGGGCTGGGTCATGGGTAAAACAAAAGATAGAAAGCATGGTGTGTGAGAAATTTTTTGTTTTCTTAATTCCTTTACAGGGATAGAATGGAGAATGCTATGCATCAGCCAGGTATCTTTCATGACTTGGAAAAAATTAAGAAGAAGATGGGTATTGATGATGATGAGTCCGTGGATTTTTTTGTCCTCCTTGACAATATTTTTGCTGAGCAGGTGAGCTGAGCAGTTCTGTTGCACTGTCACAGAAGGARATATCCCCTTACCATGCACCTGAAGAAATCACAGAGTGCCAACACCCACCGACACTAATGAGTACTCCAGTACCTTTCTGTGCATTCCAGAATGTTTGYAGAAGTAGCATGGCCTTTTGAAAAAGCAAGATGTGGGGTCAGCCTTGTAGGGTGGATGAAGACTCATCTCCAGCATTTATGTTCTTACCTTGAAATCCACTATTTCTTTCAAGTGTAATGTAGAGCTAAGAGACCCATTGGGTCTCGCTTACCCATTACAAAGTACCTTCCATTTTTTGGTAGTCAGTACTTCACTGTTATCTTAATCCCAGTTCCAGCACGCTATCTGTGAGCCAGACTGCTTGTRCTACTGGAAGGAAGTTGGGCACATTTGTACCTGCCTTAGTACCTCTTTTTTTGCTGGAGCTGATGATGACTGGTCTGTCTGTCAGGTGAATGCCTCAATATGTTGCACTCCTCATAGAAATGCATCCTCAAGTAAACACAAAAAAACCATGTGTCTAAAACCATCCTAAAAATCCTCCCATGAATGTCATAGTACAATCCTGTAGTACAAGTGGTGTGACATGAGCAGCTGTTTTCTGTAGGCAGTCATCCATTTGTCTTCAGGCTGGGTTCAGAAAGGGTCAAACACTATCACTCTGCTACATCTCCTCCRTCCAGGTGCACAATTTGCCAAGCTGCCCTGTGCTGAAGAGCTTCCAGCAGACAGTGGAGCGCCGATCTGTTGACTCCATGCTTTTCCTTCTGGAAGACAGTTCCAGGTGATTGCCTGTGTCCATGCCTCTGGCCTCATGGACTGTCTTACCTGGGGTGGGTGTGCTACACCAATTTATTTCAGCAGACAGAACTCCTTTCCTGTCTGCTGCATTCCCCCACCAGAGCCCACTCATGAGGTTTGTGCCTCAACTGTCTCAGTGTAAAGCTCAGTGCCTTGAGTCAGTAACATGAGCTAGGAAAAGGAGCACACTGAGGAGACCCTGTTTTGCTGATCCTCATGCAGGGGGTAGTCTCCCAGGAGCAGTAGTAAGCCACTGAGGTACGAAGTGAATGCCTCAGTTACCACGGGGGTTTAAGTGAACCTGTGTTAAAGGCAAAAGCAGAAAAAARGAGATGCTTCCAGCTCAAGCCCTGAGGCTGCCCTTACAGTTGCAGAAGTACAATCTGAATTCCAGCCTGGGAAGTTTATCTCAGGGATGGCACCTGCACAGCGAGGCTGAGAAGTGCTGGTGCTAGCGGAAAAGGTGATGCCAGGTCCTGTACACATGTAACTACTTGCAAAGAGAATCTGCTGCTGCATGCAGCTAATTACCTCCTCCACAGTTGTTTGTAAAGGCTGGCTGAGTTGCTAGCCTAGCAGTCATTTTCCTTTTAGATGTGTTTGCAGCTGCCACATTCACCAGCTCTTCTCAGGTGCTGGTATAGTACCAGATATTGGAGATCTCAGTGAAAGACTGATTTACACCATTTCCACAACACCCAAGAGAGTTAGTCACACGCATCTTCCATTTACACCTATCTATTCATTAAGTAGAGGGAGGTTGTTTCCTCCCCCCAGATGTTGTATGAAGATGATCTCTTTGTTCAATAAAAGGATAAAAACTGTTTTTTAAATATAGCTAATTTTTAAATATAAAAATTTATATTTTAAATATAAATTATGYGCTTTCTTGAATCCTGCCTCTCCTCACCAAAGACCCCAGCCATTTCAGATGCTGTTTAGCAGCATTTTCCCTAGCTGAAACCCATKCACTCAAAAATCATTTCAGAGAAACAAAATAGCCTAGAGAACAATCAAAGAGTTTCTAATTTCCATTTACATGGCCACACCTCATGAGACTGCTTGTTAACATCTCTCCCCTCCCAGTCTGCAATCACATTAGAGTGATGACTACACAACAGCTGAACTAAAAACTGGCCATATTAATTGCATTTAATAGTTGTTAGCTACACTCAATGCAGGTTATCAAATTATAATAGAAAAGCAGGTTCTCAGGTCTTCATGTGTAATTCTTTGAAAGTTTTAAAACTAGTAAATTTATTTCTGCTTCTTTTCTAGAGAAGTTCTTCAGATGAATATTGGCCTCCTTTTCAATACCTTACAGAAGAATATTAAAGCAGCAGTAAATCCCTCAAATCCAGCTGAAAAGGCCAGGTACAGCACAGAACTCTTCGTCTAATCGTTATAAATTCTGACTTGACGTCAGTGTGATAAACTGGTTCAGAAAGATATTGAGTGTGTGGGATAAAGAGAAGGAGTTCTCACCTGCTGGAAAAAAACATGAGTGCTGCTGCCTCCATGGAGGAACACAGCTGACATTCTAGGTCTGGTTTTGTTTATTCCCTTCCCCTTTTTTTTCCAGAAAGCTCTTCCTCTATGCTTCTCATGACTCCACTCTTATCCCTCTCCTGGTGGCACTGGGCACCTATGATCGCAAGTGGCCGCCTTATGCTGCAGATGTGACCCTGGAACTGTACCAGCACCGGCACTCCAAAGAGTGGTTTGTGCGTGTATGCTATCGTGGAGAGGTGAGATCCCATGGGAAGTCCCTCCTCACAACTCTTGGCCTTTTGGTTTCACCATGCAGCAAARAAGGGCTTTGGCAGTGCACAATATGTGTAATTGTGTCTCTTTGCCTTTGCAGGAGCAAGTAGTGAAAGGCTGTAAAACAGGTCTCTGCCCACTCGAAGACTTTCTGGATGTTCTTTCACAGTACTCAGTCAGTCCAGAGGAGTACCATAACCTGTGCTCCCAAATGGAGAGGAGTTAGCAAAGTAAGTCAGGATTAAGCTGTTTTAAATTAAAATTAGTTTATTGTCACAATCTTCGACTATTTTTCTTTATGTCCTTGCCGACATTCTCCATTCYAAAGGTATTTTAGATGAGGGGACCTTTTCCTGCCAGACACAGAGTGGCACAGTGTCACTTTACACTGTTAGCAGCAAGCTGAAAGAAGCCACRTGACAGCATGGCTCATGTTTATCTCTGAGGTAGCCACATATATGTGTGGAGAGGCCGAAAACGGCAAGGGAGAGAGCACGCCGTTTTAAATTGCCCCTCTGCTTCAGGAATATGAGAGAAAACATCCCTCTTCCTGGGATGAAGCCCAGCTTGCTCTGTGCTACCATACCTGAAAGCTYTGACATTACATTGATTTTATGTTTGGTAAACTGCAGAAGCCATTGTGGCTTTCCCTTTCTTTTGGCATATTGGAGGGCTGCTCTCTGCAGACAGATGAGCCTCCCCAAACTGCATAGCATTTAGCTACCCCATCTTCTTGAGGGCATTTCTGTGCACAGAAAACATTTCCAAAGGGACAGAAAGCCTCCAGACTTCTCTGCACTCCTCTAATTATGAGAATTCTGCCATGAACATGCAGAACAACCACAGTGGGCCAAGTACAAGAACACATTCTTGGTGAACTCTGCTTAATGTGCTTTGAAGAAGGAAGTCTGGGGAGCTGCTGTCAACTTCGGCTTTGGGCAGCAGTGATAATTTTGCAGTTGCTGAAAAATAAAATACGAGCCAACAACAGCCCTTCTAGCTGAGATGACAGTTTTTCCTGTAAGGCAGGATTACAAATCACTATGTTGCCAAAGTCATAGAAACAAAGAATGGTTTGGRTTGGAAGGGACCTTGAAGATCATATAGTTCCAACCCCCTGCCATGGGCAGGGATGCTGCCCACAGGGCTCAAAGCTCTATCCTACCTGGCCTTGAACACTTCCARGGATGGTACACCCACAGCTTATCTGGGCAGCCTATTCCAGTGCCTCACCGCTCTCATAAAGAATTCCATTAACCTAAATCTCTCCTCTTTAGTTTAAAATGGTTTTCTCTTGTCCTATCACTATCTGCTCATATGAAAAGTCACTCTTCCTCTTATAAATCCCCCTTTAGGTACTGTAAGGCTGCTCTAAGGTCTTCCTGGAGCCTTCTCCAGGCTGAGCAGCCCCAGCTCTCTTAGCCTGTCTTCATAACAGAACTGCTYCAGTCCTCTGATGATCTTTGTAGCCTCCTCTGGGCTCCTTTCAACGGGACCACATATTTCTTGTGCTGGGGACCACAAAGCTGGATGCAGCACTGCAGTGGGGTCTCAGTGCTGTCAGYAGAGCAGAGGGGCAGAAGCCCCTCCCTCAACCTGATGCCTGCAGTGCTTTGGATGCAGCCCAGCACAKGATTGGCTTTCTGGGCTGTGAGCCCACAGTGCTGCCTCATGTCCAGCTTTTCATCCACCACAATTCCCAAGTGCTTTCTCCACAGGGCTGCTCTCAATGAGTTCTTCTCCCAGACTTGTTTTATGTCTGGGATTGGCCCGACTCAGGTGCAGCACCTTGTACTGGGACTTGTTGAACCTCATTACGTCCTCATGGACTCACTTCTCAAGTTTGTCCAGGTCCTTCTGTTGTGTCAACTGAACCATTTGACTTCATGTCCTCTGCAAATTAGYTGAGGGTGCACTTGATGTCACTGCCTAATTCACTGAAAGAGATGTCCGCTTTTCAAYGAGTAAATAAAACTTGGGACCTACTTTCTTTGGGAGAGGCAAAGATTAAAATAAGGGGGGGGGGGGCACTTAGTAAAATGGCTCTGTAATTCTGGTTCTGTTACCCCTTCTCACTTAGTGTAAAAATCACTTAATCTAAGTCATTGACAGATATGTGATGGAGGCACTACAGCACCTTTTCCCTGAGAAAAATGGGCTGGATTTACCTCTACTCTTTCATTAGCCTGCCCCCACCACAATTACATRTTGACACCACGCACAATGAACCAGAATAATTTGAATACTAAATACATTGCTGGAGGTCTCACTGAATTACTTTTAGAAGCTGTCAAAAAAGCAAACAAAACATTGTTATTTTCCATCAGGTTTTTATACAGCCTAAAACCATAATGCCATTATATAAAAATCAATGCCTACCCTTGCTTAAGAACTGTTCTGCTCTAATCAAGCGCTCTCTTGTACACAGTTTCAAGTATTTGGGGAACAGTGATGAAAATATTAGGTCTATGATTACAAGTTATTTGTGAGGCACGGACTGCTTGGAAAAAGGCATCAGAAGCTTTAGCCATACAAAGGGGGAATTCACATGCTTACTCTTAAATAGCAGCTAGGTAGGAGCATCCCCAGCAAAACTAACCAGCAACCAGGTTAAAAATTGCAATACAGCCAAGACCCAGAGGACTCAGCAGTTCAAGTTGTTCCAGAGCAGATTAGATTGTTAAAGGACATTGCTTTCACACAGTTAAAATCTTCCTATCACTCTAGGCAGAGGAACACACATTTCAGTAGCAGCAAAATCCCTCAGAAAAGCAAGCCRGCTTCCTGGCAGGGGCTAGGAGAAAGGCACCACTGGGAATAGGTTACTTCATTGTCTCTTAGAGGGGGCTTCTGCAGTGCCCTCTCTGCCCTATTCGAGCCTCACCCTTCCCCTCAGTGTGGAAGTGGTTGGGCCATGCAATGGTCCATCCCACTTGACAACTTCCATGCTAGCCAACAGGATGAAGGAGGAGCTATTTCTGACCACAACTAGTGTAAATGATCATTTCAGAAGAGGATTGGTTGGACAGTGGAGGAGTTTTAATACCAAAGGGCACAGGTAAGTAGGAGCTACTGAATTGCAAACAGCATGAAGAGTTGAGGCATTTCTGAGAAGGTGGAATAAAAATTCCCAGAAATCAACAATTTCCCAGTAGCCCAGACAAAACAGCAACCCTTTTTTTCCTGTGTTATTAACCATTTTTAGGTTAGGAATTACTACCAGTTGACAAAGTGAAGTACTCTAGTAAATACAGGCCTATATSAAACATGGATCATTCTTCCTCAAGAAATATCACATTAGGGAACAGGTTTCAGCCTGCAGTCTTTCAATGCTGCACCAGGAAAGCATTCACCATCATGAATGCAGAAGGACACAACCAATGAAATGCAGCCTGTCCTGCCACCCGAGTGAAAACCAGCATAGCAGAGAGCACACCAAGCACCACAAAATTAGCCCTTCATGTACCRTATTTGTAGTAGCTCCAACATTCTGGTGGGACAAAAAATGCTGCATTTCAGCTTACCCTCAGGAAGATTTGGGCACCCACATCTACTCTGAGTTAGGATACATGTGTTGTACCAGAAGCAGCATCAGCATTCAAACCCCAATGACAACTGATGCAGATCAGATCCCTGTACACTGGTCGGTTTTCCAAAATGTGACCCATTAAACATCACAAGGATGCCAGGACTAAACTCCTAAGGCTGGCTCCTTGCTGTCATCTTCTTTGGTAGATTAGCTAGCCCATGATACAGGTACAAAGCTCAAGTTTACTTGGACAGTGCTTAAAACTGCCAGTGTACTTCACAGATGACCTGATCGCAAGTCTACTAATTTAAAAYAAACAGATTTCAAATATTTAAAACTTTTGATTTAGCAGGCGCATTACTTCGCATTTCAGAAGTTCACCATCTGCTGGGTTTACCTTTAAAGTCTCTCCACACTCCGGCTGCGCAGCCATCTGGGATGAGATAATTTGAACAGCAGACTGTTTCCTCCCATGTTACTAGAGAGGAAGAGCAGCCAAGCATGTATGAATAAAGTCTATTTCATTCTTTCAAACAAAGGTGGAGGAGGATGATTTGAAAGCTTAAAAAAAAAGCAGGGGGGAGGGGAAGAAAACTAAAAATGGCAACCCAGTTTCCATCTCCAACTGTACCATGACTACCAAAGCTGAGTCACAGTTACTATTGATAAGCAGGAGGTAACAGAGCCTGACTTACAGATCCTCAGGTGAATCTGCAAGGCAGACAGCTAGAAAGCTTTTCCATTTGCAAAGCAAAACGGGTAGAAGTAGAAACAGGGCAAAACAAAGAAGTTTATCTACATACATGTAGAGTCATTTTCATGACTGGAGCCAGCTAAGACCTTAGCAACTCTTGTCCATCTCCTGGTGCAAACCAGGCAACATCACTGAGGTTAAGTGCACCCACGTGAACTTAGAATCCACATCTTCTGCATTATCTGTAGGAAAAATCCCATTAAGATACCAAATGCCGGCATCATAAGTTAGACACAGAAGGACCTTTAATTATACAGCTTGTTTAAAATGTATCCTCTTGCTGTTCAGTGGCTCTGAAACAGTGAATTCCCTATGCTAATTTTCTTAGAATAAGTCAAGCCACCTCAAATCCTTTGCTGTTCAAAATCCCYACAGGCATAGGAGGCACTGAGAAAGAGTTTAAGAAACCCCAAAACCTCCAGCTTATTTCTATGTCGATCAAGAACTTTGCTTTGTTCAACATGGTAAAAACAGTCAGGAGTGATGGCAGAAGTGGCAACACTTAAAAAGGTTGCATTGTGACAATTCCCATGCAAGGTCCTTAAAAGGGAGYTGTGCAACCACTTAAAGAAGAGGTAATTCCGCTCTACAGAAATAACACTTACTGTGTCATTGTCAGCTCTTTCTAAAATCTTGAMAAGCCCCGTGCTTCAGGCATGCTGCCTGTCTTGTCAGAGGGAAGCACCACAACAGACATCCTACACTTTGTCAAAAGAGTAATTCTCACCCAAAATCATCGTAAATTTGCATGACAGCACAAAGGTGAATTTGGAAGCAGGCAACAGAAGGCTCTGAGGCTTGCGTGAGGTGCATGGCTTCACTCATTTTATAACACCAGCAACAAAAGTTTAGTGAACCAGCCACCAAGAGGAATTCTTTTTCCACCTGTTAAGGATCAGTTAACTCTCAAAAATTCTCACACACAAGCATGTTAAAAATACTCACTCTCCACATGACTTTTTGCATTAATGGCCAGCCCTCTGAGGAAACTACTCATTGAAATAATTTCAAGTAGCAGTAAGAGGAAGGAAGAGCAGATTACACACTCCATATACAGTGCTGGGGGASCAGAGAACAGCCAGCCACAGAGCCCACACCCGGCCTACAGATCCACATCTGGCTCTTGCTGGTATTCTCCACGAGCAGAGCTCAACTCCCAATCCATGCTTTGTCATCCAGCCTTTCACTCCTCATAGGAAAGACCATAAAACCTTCTTGCAGAAATYCTCTCAAAAGGCCAGTTTGAAAAGACAGGGGATTAGGAAGCAATCGATGAGAACTGTGGCAAAGCAACAATTTACTCAGCGGGGTTGTCTTGATAGAAATCTGCTCACTGACAATTTCTCTCTCACCTTTGTTATTAAAGTTCATCTGTTCCCCACCATCACAGGCTCTCAGCACTGGGAGTCAAAGACCTGACCCAATCCAAAGTCCCCAAAGGGGGACACAATCCCAGTGCTTCGGCAGACTGRCACTACTGCTCAGGGGGAGCTCCAACCCACGTACCTTGGAGTGCTGCAAACACTCTTCAGGAGGAAGTGATGCAGACAAGTTTCATCTGTTCCTTGACCCTCAACAAATTGAGGAAGYGTGTAACTATCATTCCTGGGGTGTTCTGAAATAAGACCTCACTCCAAGGGGAAACAAGCTCAGTTTAGGATTAAGCTAACAGAATTTCCTCAAAAAGAGCACGCAGCTGCCTATTGA